GAATTATATTGAAGAGGAGTGGTGATAGTGGGCATCCTTGTCTTGTTCCTGATTTTAACATGAAAGTTTTCAGTTTTGGGCCATTTAATATGATGTTGGCTATTGGGTTTTCATAGATAGCCTTTATTAAGTTGAGATATAGACCATCTATTCCGATTTTTTGCAGGGTTTTTATCATGAATGGGTGTTGAATTTTTTTTTTATTTATAATCAAGTGTATTTATTGGAAATTTTATTTTTTTATTTTTTTTATTTATTAATTTTTTTGAGTTTATTGGTACATTTTAGGGATACAGTACAGTTACATTTATTGTTGGGATCATGTACCTCTACATGGCAAGTCTTGATTCTCATTTTTTCCCCTTACCTCTGCCCTCCCCTCACCCCCTTCTCCCCTCCCCATCTACAAACACTTTATTTTCATCTTTTCATTCTCTCACATTTTTTTCTTTCCCCTTTTTGTTCTTCCCCTACCCATCACACCTTCCCTGCAGGTGTTGAATTTTGTCAAATGCTTTTTCTGCATCGATCAAGAGGATCATATGGATTTTGTCCTGGACTCTGTTAATATAGTGTATTACATTTATTGATTTCTGTATGTTGAACCATCCTTACATCCCTGGAATAAATCTGACTTGGTCAGGGTGTATGATCTTCTTAATGACACTCTGTTTTCTGTTTGCCAATATCTTATTAAGGATTTTTGCATCTATATTCATTAAGGAGATTGACCTGCAGGTCTCTTTTTTAATTGTGCCTTTCCCTGATTTGGGAATCAAAGTTACACTTGCTTCCAGGAATGATTTTGGAAGTATTGCTTCCCTTTCAATTTAATTGACAAGTTTAAAGAGTAGTGGCAGTAGTTCTTCTCTAAATGTCTTGTAAAATTCAGCAGTGAAACCATCAGGACCTGGGCTTTTCTTTGTTGGTAAGCTTTTAATTACATTTTCAATTTCACTGATTGTAATTCAGGTTTTTAGAATTTTTTTTTTTATCTTCTTTGTTCAACTTGGGTAATTCATTTGTATCTAGAAATCTGTTCATTTCCTCTGTGTTTTCTATTTTATTAGAGTATGGATACTCAAAGTAGGTATTGATGATCCTCTATATTTTTGCTGGATCTATTGTGACTTCACCTTTTTGGTTCCTATTTGCATGGATCTGAGCCTTTTCTCTCCTTTTTTTCACAAGGTTAGCTAATGGTTTGTTTGGCTGTTTTCTTTATCTACCTTCTCCAGGCCTCTGTTGACTTTCCAATGTCTACAACTATTTATTTAATATATGATCTTCCATTTGTTGTTTATCATTTAGATAAAGGCATGTGCTGCATAATGATGTTTCAGTCAGTGATGATGGTATACATGATGCCAGGCACATAACATTATATTGCCTAGTGATGTCACAGTCCTAATTTGTGTAACACTCTGTGATATTCTCATGAAGAAAAAATTTCTGAATGACAGATTTCTCAAAATGTACTCCTATTGTTAAGTGACTTGGGACTGCAGGGGAGGGTGCCACTAAGATAGCCTCTTTAATAAATAGTATTGGAAAAACTGGATTTCAACCTACCAAAGATTAAAACTAGACCCTTATCTTTCACCATGCACTAAACTAAAATCCAGGTAGATTAAAGATCTAAATATTGAAAAAGAGACACTAAATGTGCACGAAGATAAGTTAGGTAGAACTCATGAAGACACTGGCATAGGAAAAGACTTTATGAACAAATCCTCAGTGGCACCGGAGCTAGCAGAAAGAATCAGCAACTGGGATCTCATCTTATTAAAAAGCTTCCACACTGCAAAAGAAACCATCAACAGAACTAAGAGAACCTACAATGTGGGAAAAAATTTTTCCAGCTGTTCCTCAGACAAAGGACGATTATCTAGAATATAAAAAGAACTCAAAAAAACCAGCCCCCCCCAACAGACATTGCTCAAAGAAATAAAAGCATCAAGCAAATATATGAAAAAATGTTCCACATCACTGGCAATTCAAGAGTTGTAGGTTAAAACAACACTGAGATTCCACCTCACCCCACAAAGAATGGTTGCTATCAAGAAATCAACCAATAACAAATGCTAGTGGAGATGTGGGGAGAAAGGAACACTTCGCCATTGTTGGTGGGAGCGCAGACTGGTGCAACCACTATGGAAATCAATATGGAGATACCTCAAAGAGCTGGGACTAGAGGTTCCATTTGATCCAGCCATCCCTCTGCTGGGTATCTTTCCAAAAGAATTGAAAGAATCATACCACAGTGATATATGCACACCCATTTTTATAGTGGCACAGTTTGTAACAGCTAAAACCTGGAAACAGCTCATTTGCCCATCAGTTGGAGATGGAATAAAGAAGATGTGGTTTTTCTATAAAATGGAATATTACTCAGCCACAAAGAATGAGAAATTAGAGTCACTCATAGGAAAATGGATGCATATTGAGGATATACTCTTAAGTGAAATAAATAAGTCACACATGTGTAAAGACCGAATAGTTTCTCTGGTGTGAAAAACTATAATTGTACATAAGATCCTAATGGTATAGTTGACAATTTGTGATAGGAAGAAAAGGGCTAAAGGTGCAGGCCATGTGGGAAGGGTAGGGGAAAGGAAATAAGGGAAAAGAAAAAATATGAGAAAATTTAAAAATGGAAAGAAAGTTTTTGTAACTAGGGAAGGGAGGAAGGGATGAAGGGAGGGCAGGGGTATGGGGAAGAAATGAGAACCAAGTCCTGTCATTTAAAGGTACAAGAGCCCAATTAAGAATGTAACTCTACAGTATACCTAAAATGTAGCAATAAATTCAAGGAGAAAAAAAAAGAAAAGAAAACAGTCAAACAATTCAGTGTGTAAAGTTCTTGCCTGGTCATGACTGCTTTTTCTAACCCTAACAACTTGATCAGCTGTATCATGGGCACCTGGACATCCAATATTTTTAGTGAGTTAAGCATTTAATTTAGCTAGACAGACAGCAGAACCAAGTCAAAGAAAAAATAAGTAATAGAAAATTTTAAATAGATATAAACAATCTGAAAAAATATCTCCAACTGTAAGGATCGAGAATAGGAGACTTGAAGGAAAATTACTTCCTACTTTCAGTGGAACAAAACTCTCCATCATCATCTGCTATTCCAGAGATCACAGAGACCAGGGAAGATCCTCACTTATTTTATGATAGAGAAGCCACAAAATGAAAAAAAGTCATAGCATTAGAAAAATAAATTATATCCATTTTAATAATATATGTAAAAATCAAAATATTAACAAATTTCATCTAACAATGTTTTTAGGAAAAAGTAATATATCTAAGGAAATTTTGTATTATGAATACAGTAATTCAACATTTAAAAGCTAAAAGAATAAAAGAAAGTTTGCCTTGTTATAATAATTTTACTTTTCAAAATCTGCTCCAAGTAAACAATAGATGATTCAAAAGCTTTATTCACAATTTTCATATACCATTACATACAGCAAAGAAAATTAGAATTAAATGTCTCCCTGTAGGTTGACTAAAGAAGATATGATATAACTACGCAAAATAAATATTACATACCTACATACCTACATACCTGTATAGCATTTACAAAGAATTACATGGAAAGTGCTGTGATAAGTATATCCTTGACATTTTCAGATTTTAAAACTCAGATCCCACTGGGGCCTAACCTTGCCACTCTCTAATCTTGCCAGCTACTTCTACCCCTAACATACTCCTGGTACTCCTGGTCTGCCTTGTCTTAGCTCTATTTTTCCTTTTTACAAAAATACTATCACCTTCTAACAAGAAAGATGACTTACATCCTTATGTTAATTGTATATTATAAACAAAATATGTCTTCTTCTTTAGAATACAGATTCAGTCAGGAAAATGTTTTGGATTGCTAATATGTTCCAAATACCTAGACAAGGCCTTAGATTATTTTATATATTTCAAATAAATTAAACATTAGAGATTTCTATTATTTGCAAGTGATTTTAATTCTATGACATATAAAAATATGTTATTTTGTGTGCAAGTATTAACTTGATTCACAGGCTCTATGAAACAGATTTAGTGGATATAATGGAGACAAATACATAAGAAATGCCTGGTATCTGACTCGCAGAGTAGTTTTGTTTTTCCTACATATTTTATGGGGAAAATTATATGCTATACAGCAGCATACTCCATGATAAAAAGTAAAAATAGAAAAAAAAACACTGATAGATGTAACAACATAGATGAGTCTAAAATGCATTATAATGAGTGAAAGAAGGAACACAAAAAGTCATACATATATTTTAGGATATTTAGGATTGCTTTCATATATAATTTTTCACAGAAAATTCACACAATGGTATAAAAGAGAACAGTGGTTGCTTAGGGAAAGGTGGTTGTTACAAGACATGATAAAACCCTTCACAGTAGTGGAAATGTTCAATACCTTAGTCATGATGGTGGTATCATGGTATATACATAGTTATATTTCACCCAGTTGTCTGCTGCATAGATTAGTTTACTGTACAAAATTATACCTTATATGTTAATAAACTTATAAAAAAGAAAAGTAAAAATACAAGCTCAGGTGGTATTAATGCATTTAAACATCAAATGTTTCTATCTTACAAATTTCAAAGATATTCAACAATGCCACACAAAAATATATTAGTACAAAACATTATATAAATATCATATTCACAACTATGTTACTATAATAGGAAAAAAAAATATATATATATATGATAAGAATATATATATAATCTATATAATAGGAAAAAAGATTAAAAGAAAGTATGACAAAACATTAGGAGATTCAAAGACGACATCTTATGAATACTTTATTTCCATATTTCTAATTTGAGTTTTTCAAATTTCCTTCAGTGAAAATGTGCTATCTTTACAATATAAAAAAATTTCCTAGGTATGTATATTTCATACATTTAATGTGTATATTATATGTAATTACTCTGGTACTCAAGCATCATCTAACCCATCTTTCATTTTAATCTCCACAGGATCAATCTTTTCAAAATATTCACTTCCCTTCTCAAGAACTACACTGCCTCTCCACTGTCCAACAGATTAAATCCTGCTCATTCTGCTCTATCAGGTACCGCTTTACGTTTCCTAAGTTGCCAGTTCTGTAATTGCAGACTATAATTAAATTTAACTAAAAAGAAATTTATCAGATGCATAAACATTGAGTTGTCTACCAGCATAACAATTACAACCAGACATAAGTACTGAATATTTCCCCCTTTTTGTCATTAAGTTGTTTGGTACATTTTAGGTATATAATACAGTTACATTCATCACTGGGAACTTGTACCTTTACATGATATACTTTAGTTCTTTTTTTTTTTCCATTCCCCTGCCCTCTCTTCAACCCCTCTACTCCTCCCTCCTTACAAAGACTTTGTTTCCACTTTTTCCTTTTCTCATTTTTTCCTTTCCCTTCTTTCCTTTCCCATTCCCCTCCTGCTTCACCTACCCCTTTAGACTTTTTCTACCTATTTCACATTGTCAATTATACATTTTGATCCTTATTTACACTTTTAGTTTCTCATACTAGAGAAAAAATTCAATATTTACATATGTGTGTCCTATTTATTTCACATAAGAGTATGGTATAATTGACAATGTGAAATAGGAAGAAAAGGGCTAAAGGTGTAGGGAAAGTGGGAAGGGTAGGGGAAAGGAAATAAGGGAAAAGAAAAAAATAGGAGAAAATGAAAAAATGGAAATAAAGATTTGTAACTAGGGAAGGGAGGAGGGGGTGAAGGGAGGGCAGGGGTATGGGGAAAAAATGAGAACCAAGGCCTGTCATGTAAAGGTACAAGATTCCAATGATGACTGTACTATATACCTATATAGTAACTGTACTATATACCTAAAATGTACCAATAAGCTTAATGAGATAAAAAAGAGTATGCTCTCAAAGTACATCCATTTAGCTATTAATGTCTCTAGTTTCTCATTCTTTATGGCTGACTAGTACTCCAGAGACAGGGAAAAGGGGAAGAGAACTCAGAACTAACTTGATACCTCCTTACATCAACTGAGTCAGCTGACAACTCCTGTAACAGCATCCACCCTAACCCTCACAACTGGCTACTGCTACAATTCCACCCTCCAAATCTCTCACTTTTCTCCTAGGGTTAATGTTAACACTGCAGGAACCATCCAATGAAAGTAATTCTACAGAACATGGTTCCACCTTACTCAGATGTCAGGAACCACGAGCGCTTTCATATCCATGTACCAGTGGGGGTGAAGCACACCAATTCCTATCAGGATAAATGTTCCTATGCTTGGGACCCTTCTGGGCCTGTCCCCATGTACCTTTTCATCTAGCTGTTTGTATCTTTTATAAAAAATCAGTAACAATAAGTGAAGTGTTTCCATGCTTTTTCTATAAACCATTCTAGAAAGTTGTTGAACCAGAAAGAGAGCAGAAGTGGGGAGCCCCCAGCTTTGTTGAACAGAAGTTGGGTGGCTTGCTATTTGCTCCTTGTGACTGGTTTCAGAAGTAAGGGCAGTCTTTGGGACTCAGCCCTTGAAATTGTACAACCTTATACTAATTCTGGATAGGTCAGAGCTCAATTGTAGGAGAAAGACTAGGTGTCTGGAGAGTTGGAGAGATGGTTATTGGTGAGGAAAAGCCTCCATACATTTGATTTTAGAAGTGCTATAAGCAAAAACATTTTAGAATAACTAACATCCTACTAGGAAGCAAAATTTGGACTCATCACCTACTAGCTTATAGGCCACTCCACTTTTATCAACAAATATGCATCATACCAACACCTTTTTAACTCACTTCATGATATAAAAGTTTTTGTCACAAATATACACACAGATGGAAAAGGAAATTGTCACAGTAATTCTCCATCTTTTTCTCGGGGATTTCATGATCTTATCACCCATGCACAATGTCTCAGATTTTCTCTTTCTCTCTCTCTCTCTCTCTCTCTCTCTCTCTCTCTCTCTCT